AATGTTTAAAATAATGTTTATAAACCAATTATAATTAAGTTGCTTAAACAACTATAAACAAAACTGCATCTTGTATGCATAGTTTTATACAAAGGACCGAAATCACACAGAGTACATTTTTTCATTTAAAAACATGAGTTGCAGTGGGGTGGGAAAAAAAACCTGCCAAAAAGTCTCGAGATATTTTTATTTTTTTTCAAAGTTAAACCTGCATTAATTTTACATGGCTTTCTAAACATGCGGCTCTTTTGTGCGAGACGCGAGTGCTGCAGCAGCGCCGCATCTAGTGGCTTCAACTGGATAGGCTGACAAAAATATTATAATGCAGTGACACTTACATCACGTCATCGCATCTCGTGCGCCGCTGATAAGGCTGCACACCTAAGATTTGAATGCAACGTTTTTGCATTCGAATGTGGATTTTTATTTTACTTTCCCTTTAAATGCAAATGAGCTGGTGCTCCTGGAGAAGAGGGTGGAGCTTCAAGAGCTCAAGCTCCAGCAATACCGGTGCTAGCCTTTGCAAATAAACACTCTGTACAACTCGCTGTGAACTCCTTTAGGGCGGTTCTATGTTAAAACGGCAGTGTCTGTCAACATCAGTGACGTCACATTAGCACCAAGTCGGAAAACAGTTAGTTGGGAGACACTGCTTATGATTTATGGGGATTAAAAAAAAGGAGTGGGTGGATTTTTATCATTATAGGGTGGTTGTGTACACACACTGCCAACACACATTTATGTCCAAACACCATGCAAAAGTGAATTTTGCATAATAGGTCCCCTTTAAGACTGAACTGTGCTGGACTGAAAGAGAGAGTCTGTCTACTTAGCGTTTGACTCGTTTGAGGGCGGAGAGCGGAGCATGGTTTCGTGGTTTGGCTGCTCTGAATTCTCCATCTGAATGTTTTTACAGCCTCTGGATTGGCAGCGTCGCATTCATTTGTTTACCAGAGAAAACTCATTCACTGGAAAGGAAACTGTATTTTGAGAGAACCAGACCATTGCTGAATAATGATTGGAGAGATAAAGAGAAACTTCCTTCGTTTTACTTTTCACTTTATACAATGGCTGTTAGAGAACAGCAAATAAACACAAATAAGAAATGCTTAATTTTAGTTTTCATGAGTTTTAATCATTAAAACAAGTAAAAGAATCAAGTGTAAAAAACTTCTATATAAAATGCACTGCTATTTAAGATCTTTAATCAAGATGATCTATATTTTGCTTCTCAAATAGATGTAACTCGTTTAATTAGGGCTGTTAAATATATATATATATATATTATAAAATGCTAAGATCTTTAATCAAGATGATCTATATTTTGCTTCTCAAATAGATGTAACTCGTTTAATTCGTTTAATT